TCCCGAATTCTTTCTTGATACACCCAGCACCGGAATAAAAAAGCTTCTTATCTCTTCCGCTGCTTTTCTCATGCTGCACGCCAACACATATTACTCAGTCCTTACGCGTGTATGATAAACGACGAATTTTTGTCCCTTGCGTCGTCTACACTCACTCATGCGGTTAATTGTATCAGTCCTCCTGCAGTTTCACAGCAACTTAATTATTCACCTCGCAGCCACTATTTCGTTACGTACTCATTTCCTTATAAATCTTCAAAGTTCATCATTATCCTCTTTATTTACAATTCTAAGGTGTAGATTTTATCTTCCATTTTCGTGACTACTTTCTCCACGATCAATTACTACTTGCCTTCACACTCGCCAAGATGTCGTCTACTACTCTTACTCCACGAAACGGGGATCATACAACCCACCTGGTCGACGAATTTTTGAAGAAACCTCTTCCGTAGGGGTAACACCGCACCATAACCCCTACCATCGTCCCCTCGGTCTCGTCGAAAATGCAAGTCCGCTGTGACCACAGCGGCGGGCATACGTTGCGGGGAGGGCGGCGCCATAGCTGCGTGAGTGGTTAGGGTATTTGGTTCATGTACCAAACGCCGAAGTCCATGCAGCGTGTAGAGCGGGATCACGCGGAAACCAGAAGCAAAGATATGGTGCAGAGAGCAGGAGGAAAAGTGAAGTCTCGCACTACAGAAAGTGACAACCGTGACAGAGGTAACTCTTGGCAATGTTACGATCAGGAGGCGTGCGAGTTACGCACGGAGACATCTACGCCGTAATGATTTTCAGCGGAGTTGCTACGATTGCTCGAGAAGGAAGAAATCACCCACAGAATTGTGCAAAAATCATTAATTATTGATTAAACTCGCTAGGTTTATTAGGAGTACAGGAATTCCGTACGAGCGCTGGCGCAGGCTCAAACATTATGGCACTTATTCATTTTTGTAATGTATGGCAGGGAGAACACGGAACGTGATTTTCTTCGGGTACAAAAATGCTCTTTTAAAATTTAAAATGCGAATAAATCGAGGGGAGAATCCTCATAGACACATGGAACGAAGTATTGGCAACTTCGGATGATTATTATGCAAAGTTTACAAATAATTACATTAGTTTATCGGAACTTCATATTAGTAAATTTGTTGGCATGGGCAAGAAGTGAAGCTTTGCCATCATGAGGCAGGTCCTATTATCTTTATTATTCGTACCAATTGATGTCATGCCACATGTCTTTCCATTAAAGTTCTCGGTTACAAAGTAATTTTGAGGTATTTGAAGTGGCACCTTGCCTTTCTGACAGATGTAACAGAGCCACGCAATAATTTCTATGTGCAACTTCAAGGAAAGGGGAAGCTCATCTGTCATATGCAATCACATGTCAAAGCATTTGAACTAAAATTAGGCCTCCTCATCAAACAAGTGAAGGAGGAAAACGTCTGCCATCTCCCCACAAATCAAAATGTGTGGATTCACTAAAAAAATTGCAAAAGGATTCTCCAATTAAGATTTAAAGAGCTTCATCTCCATGAACAGGACATGCAGCTTTTCCATAACCCATTTTCTATTGTCATTGAAAATGTGGTTACAATTTGTGGAATGGATCTGGCTGAACTACAGAATTGTGACTCTCTGAAAGACGCATTGAATTCAAATAGCCTTCCTAATTCCTATGTACTCTCCCCTCTGAGACATAATCATCTCAGGAACCATGCACTCAAAATGGCAACCAAGGCGATGTCTTTATGTTGTTTTCCTCCAAGAATTTCTTAACAGACTTGGCCTGCCCTTGACTTGCCATAGTACGGGGCTCCATCATACACAAAAATGCAATCTCCGTACGGGAAAATAATAAGGGAAAGTAAAAGTTAAAAGTTAACAAATCTACTAGCGGCGGCGGTGGCGGTTTTAGCTACAGCGCGTTATTTACAGCTCTGCTTTAAAGCAACAATGAACGGTTTGTTTTGCATATAATTTTATAACGCAGTAACACCGATAGCGCTGGGAAGCATATGCAAATAGTTCGAAAACTATAGTAAACTACAGTAAATATTAAATACTATAGTATTATATTATTCACCAAATCTGCTCGTTTTAACACCAATTACACGTTATTTTTGCCAGAACATATGCTAAATGCTCATTATCTTATCATATGTAAGATAATTCCCTCAAATTCTCATTACTAATCAATGGCGGCTCTTGCCTTCAAAAGTTGGTGGTTTACAGAATAATGGCATTAAGGGGGGGGGACTCTGATGTTGAAACTGGTATACAATGAATTTATAGTTAAGTTTTAGAAATGCACTATACTTAAAAGTTCACATTTCTCGTCGAGACATTCCCATTTGCACAACTATAAATATCATTATTAAAACTTATAAATAAAGAACATATGTACTTACCTATTTGTAAAAGAAGTCGGCACCCCTTTCCTTTCTCGTAGTAAATTCTGTGATGACTCTTTCATTAAAGTCTGCAATTTGTGTAAGGAAGTCAAGCTCAAAGGAAAGCACGGCAAGAGCTGATATTCTTTCTGCCATTGTATTGCACAGATATGTAACTACCGTGCTCATCGAAAATAAAACAACATTCTACATCAGACAAACATTCTACATCTGGCATGAGCCGTTATTAATCAAAAAACATACGCTCGTTTCTGTCTGAATTCAGCATGCTCACGGGTGAGAGTAAGAATTCCAGAATTTAAGAAAATGTTCAAAGAATACATTTTTACGTCACACACAGTTTTTAACTGTACTTGACGTTATATAAATAAATGAAATAAAACCTCATAGTGATTCCATGTCCATGTCAAATACTGTTATCATTGCTACATGAATACAGGTGAAAACGAGCGTTTTTGGCAAGAATTGATAAGAAAGTATTAGCTTTCGTGTAATGAAATCTATATGCAAACGCAACTCCGCTACAACTTTGGCTATTATCCCTCATTGTGCTCTTCGTGAAGGATTCGACTAACAACCGCAAAAATAGGAAGAACGTGAAATTAAATAACTAAATTTCCCACTAAACGCTAGAAATCGTCCAAAAGTAGTGAAGTTACATTTGTGTCCAGAAGCAAAACAAGGAGCCAGCTTAGCATTCGCTCAAAGGATCAGGGAAACTGGACGAAAAACTAATCGAGAGGGTCATTGACCCAAAAGCTGAGGAACAATACTTGTTCGATTCATATTTAGTCTTTTAGAATTATACTGTCCGAACTACACTACACTAAAACATCAAATGTCATAGGTAAAATTCTAATGGTTATTGTAAATTGTAAAAGTCGATTAATGCAAAAATGATTCTCCATTCAAAGAATCAGGAAATTGCCGTTCCGTCGATGGCCGTTTTCCGAGGGAAACATTTTTCTCGACAAATGCAGGAGGGTGGGAAGTTGCAACTCCGTAATTTCTTTTAAACATGGCCTGAAATGGACTCCCGGTTCTTGTAGAAAGCAAAATGGCTACAGACTGTAGCAGATGCTGATCATTTACACCCAGTCTACCAAGTTTCCAGCTGGCAAATGGCAACTTTCAAAACTACAAAGCAAAGTTCAGCAGTAGTACAGGTATCTTGCAGAGCTGAATATCAGTTGTTGGTTTCGCTCCGAAAACATACTATTTCCCATGCGCCCGATTACCGCTCCCGTTATGCACCGTACTTGTCTTCTCCCTATTTCAAAATTCTATCCCATACCTCAATGCTCTACTCTCTTTTTCCATTCCCTCTCACACCAACTAAATTATTAATACTATTATTTTTCTGTGTATCCTAATGAAATTGTTTAGTAAAATGTACAAATAAATATTAGTGACGTTCTAGATAAAAATATACTTGTAGCTATCTTTGTATCGTCATCATAATCTTTATTACAATTTATTGGCATACACAAAATTGATGTTGAAAAATTATTTACGTCAAAAACAGTTAAAAACTGTGTGTGAAGTGATATGGGGAGAAGTTAATTTAAAGTTACATTTATGTCCAAAAGCAAAATAAGGGGCCATCTCAGCATTTGCTCAAGGATCAGGGAAACTGGACGAAAACCTCATCGAGATAGGGGTCATTGACCCTTATTGTTCCTTAATACTGTCAATATTGTATTTCAAATTACTGGTGTTATTAGCTTATGGTGTATTGTGCTTCTCTGGTGTTAAAATTATTTTATATTTATGTAAAGTGCTAATGTAAGTTAAACGTAGCTTTCTGTAATGTTCCTCGAATAATGTCAGTTTTTTCGCCTACTTCTTCTCCTCCATTTCTTTCGCTTCTTCTCTCTTCCCTCTCTCTCACAAATTTGTCCATTTTTACTTTATGATCCCTTCCCCTGTACGTCTTTCTCTTCTCTTTCTCTACTATGTATAACATATTCACTTCTATTAAAGTTCGGCCCTAAGCCGCCATCCTGATTGAGGTTTTTCTGAGTTTACTCAATCGCTTAAAGCGTACGCCGGGATGGTCCCTAGTTTTGTACTCCGAGACGTAAATGTACAGCTTGTCCTCCCCTCTTAAACTGTTACTATTCTGTATATGTGTAAATTCAGTGGTTAGGTCAAAGAGCAGGCCCTATGGCCTGAGCCTCGCCACTTGCCAGTAGTTAAGGCATTATTATTATTATTATTATTATTATTATTATTATTATTATTATTATTATTATTATATCCCCCTGAACATCCTTGGGTGACACTGAATTTACGATACCGACATATACCTTGCATTTTCAGCATTTTCAAGTGACCTATGCGTGCAGATATGGCGTGCTTCCACTCACCTTCTAAGCCCTATCAAATGGCAAATGTTGCTGTTCTGCACGTCAAACGAGCACCTTCAGAAAATTAGGGAGGAGATCATAATATTAGAGTAGGACAGGTTATTTTCTTTAAGGAGTGCACCCAGTGAAGACCACAAAGTTTTTCTGTATGTTTGAAAAAAAGAAGCTTTTTACTCCTTAGAATTTTCAAAACGGAAAGAAAATGTAAAATTTTCTAATTAGACAATATTTATTTCACAATATATTAATATAATACATAAGTAGGTGTAAGATATATCTTTTTGTTTTATGAAAAAATAATCTTCAAGTTTATTATTTTATTCAACGTTTTCATATGATTCAACTTATACAATTTATGTTAGAGAGAAATATAAAATTATTTACAGCTTAAAAGTAATACTTATAATTACACATAACAAAATTATTTCAAATGAGTAACTTACAAATAACCTGATGGTTTTGCAGCACCACTAACCTTCTTTGTACAATGAAACTCCAATGTTTTTGAGGAAATGAATTTGCACTCACAATTATGATCAACTGATGACATTGACACTCGTAGTGAATTCTGCTTTTTGAAAAATATGTTTTAATTTTCATGTTTGATGTTTTTCAGATGCAATGCATTCAACAATGTGGACTTTCATTTATGTGTACCAGATATTTTCAGCACGCTTTTCTCAAAATCACTAATTCTGTTCCTAATAATGTGGATAATTAATGTAAATGCATTTATAATGTTTCTTACCAAAGTGAGAAGATAAAAAGAACAAACATTTAATTTGTTATTAGGAGTTACACTGCACTTCACAGAATGTAATTGCACAAATATTCACAAACAAGCACTTAACTTCACCATGGCTTTAAAACAATTTGTATTTTGCTGTTGGGAGTTTTCTGCATTTTCACACTCACCTTACATACCTCAGCAGTCAAGATTAGCTTTTGAGTTATAAGCTTCCGGTAAAATGCAATGATTATTGATTAGTATTTCAGTAGCATTTCTATAAATTCACTAACACGTTCTTTAGAATTAAATTTATTCTTAAAAAATGTATCACACTTTTTATACTACATCTACCTTTTATCATTACACACTACACACTTATGTTCTAAAAACGTTTGGCAACATGTATTTACTACCAATCAGACAACTGTCAAGTATCGTGCACAATTTAGCCAGATGTCCAAATGGTTGTAATATTGTTCCCATGCCCATTAGATTTCAAAGAAGGTTAAAATATTTCAGTCAGTAAGCAATTCCATTTAGGAATATTCACTGAAATATTGGCATTTGACAGTTCTAGCACGATTAACTTCAAAATTCGAAAGATCCAAGGAGACGTTTGTGAATCTGTAACGATCCGCCATTGGACAATTGCGAATTTTTAGATCTGCCAAATACCGTACTACTACGGCGTGTGGCCCATTTCTTGCATCACTTGAGATCTCAACAGTCTTGCAGTGTCTCGCAACGGCCACTCCATTCTTGTTAGCGGTTTGGGAACTCGCGGCAGCTTTGAGAGCAGGGATTGCGGGTGAGAGTTCATGACCTCCACTTTCATTCTCACACGTTTTCACGCCTCTTTCAAACGCAACGCTTATTTCGTTATTGATGACTGTTAATTCACACTCATTTTCACATTTCACTCATTCCGTCCATTTTCTCGCCAACGTAGCGGGGGGAGCGGAGCTTCTTGGGCGGTAGGGTCCATGAGTATCTGCCATTAGTCGATTTACAAAAAGGGTTTTAGTGTATACTGGATGTCGTGCAAAGGAATCCAGGCTGCGAATTGGCAATTTTTTCACGGGGGGCAGCTTAAGGGAAACGAAGATAATCTTCGCTTACGCAGCACAGTGTGAATACACGATTGTTTTTCAAGAAAATGCTCATTGGAAAGTTTTATTTTCCAATTTGCTTGATTTGGAAATCGTAAACGATGCCCCAACATGTGAATTGTGTCTTGGACAGGGGCGTATTAATAGTTTCCCAGAAGGGGACATCAAGCTCTCTGGGAGGGGTGGGTGGATCCCCGGCATCCCCTCCCCGTCAATTCGCACGCGCGCCCCTAGCCGGGGGTGGGGGTGGGGTGGGGCGGTGGCAACGGTCGTGCGGGCTGGGCAGAGGCGTAGCTACGGGTTCTCGGGGGCCCCGGTGCACAAAGTCCAAATGGGGCCCTCGCTGCCATAGCCATCTTTCCAGACGGTCGGCGGGCGTCCTCTGTGGGGTCCCAGTTGCACCGGCCTAGCTACGCCCCTGGGGCCGGCGCGCGGGCGCTCAGAGCTTGCCCGAGTAGTGCGAGCCCACGTGCGAGGGCGGGCCGCGGTGGTGCGGGTGCGAGAGCGTCGCCGCCTTGTGCGAGCCCGAGTAGCGGCTGCCCGGGCGCGAGTGCACGATGGCGTAGTGGTCGCTGTTGGTGGAGATGGAGCGCGTCGAGTTCATTGTGGAGCCGCCCGATGTGTAGCCGGGCTTCCCGTTCAGCGAGTACCTGCCGGCAGACACCGCGGATGTTAGTGCGTAACTGGCATCATGGAAGACAAAATGTTTAGCAAGGAAAGAACGTACGTCAATATTATAAGAATTACACATATATAGCATGAGTCATTTCAGGTGAAAAAAATAATGAGTTCCTCGGAATATTTCTAGCAATAAATTATTCCTTTACTTGTTTGTCCTCAAAACATGGTTTCCCTTAGATTTTTTGATGTAATTTTTCTATTTTGTCGCAACCAGTTGTCACGAAAACTTTGGGTTATATGTATAAGACTTGAAGCACTCAAGCAAACAGCGATTGCAATACAAGTCTGACAGCCAGCTGACGCGAACGAACGGCCGGGCACGACAGAGCTGTGGTATTTAGCATCCAAATTCCGTCAATTCAATAATTTCCTTTTTTAATTGAATTAAAACAATTATATTTTTTTCTTCAGCAACACTTAAACATATTCTCATTGCTTAATTGACGTACTTTAAGCACAAACTTCGGGTGTTTGGAATTGAGGTCTAGAATTTAGGCAAAGTAGACGTTGACGACAAAGAAGACGTTGCAGACAAAGAGAAAACAAGAAACTGTTGTGGAGTAGCGAAGAATTTCTAAGAAAAATGGCATAAACATTTGTTAATTTATTTGAAGAAAACCCCGCCTGAAATGACTCGCTCTGTTCATTTGAAGTATTATTATGATTGTATGTAGATCGTAGCAAAACATTTTTTCAATGGCATATTTTCAGTCTTCAATTCAAAATAAACTACAAAATAAAGTCCGGTAACACGTTTGTTATTTTATTGCATAAAAACTGTAAACAATACAAGTTTCATATGCATATGATATAAAAGAGAAACTCGAGGCTTTTTTGATGCTACAGCAAATGCTCGTAGTTCCCAGATTCGCCATAGTTGGCGCTTTAAAAGATTACGACTTCTGGCGAGCGCACTTTCTGTGTTCTAGAATTTTACAAAAATGAGAGTGCTACAGATGTGCAACGAAAGTTGAAAACTTGGTATAGCAAAAAAGCACCAAACAGGAAGGTTTTTTTTTTCGCATGGAATGACAAATTTGTAAGTTCTGCCTGCTAAGAAAAGAAGTGGCCGTCCTAGATCGAGGAGAGGCCGTTCATTCATTATTTGAGAAAAGTGATGTTTTTTTCTTTTTAGTTTGTAGATACTGGATTTTAGGCTCCAGGAATCATTAATCTAACTAAAGATATTCACAAATGTCTAGTTTAAAAGAGTGCTTATGTGCAATTGGTCCCAGTACATAGAACTGCACAGAACGCGTTTTTAAAAGAATGTTGGTTACTGCAGTTTTGGCACGGAGCAGCTATCAAACGGCCCCCGCACGAGCTACTTGTCCTACAAGTCCGACGCTCCTGCGAGCACTGGCAACTTCCCCTGACTCCGCTCTCATTTCCCCTCCAACTCCAGAAAAAGGCATTGTCAAACGAGGCGAGATGGTGCTGCAGAGGGTAAAAATGTGCCAAACTCCGTTCCTTGAGATATTCTATTGCCGATTATAAGAACTTTGCTGTTTCTAACTAGCACATCTGGGTTCAAATAAAAGCAAAATTCTTATACCTGTCAATAGGATACACGTTCGAACCCCATGTGGTACAGTCTCGCCCCCTTTGATGGTATGTAGATGCAAGCTGAAGTGGCGTGAGGTGGGGAATAGTGGCTTATACGTAAATATATTTGCCAGATGTGTTCTATCAATGAACCGATATGTGTATTTGTATTAAGTTTGTTCTCTTTATTACTTATTACTATTTCCTTTTTTAATTCTGCCTTATATAATCAGTTTTTCTAAGTGAGAGGAATACTATGTTTGTATGGCAAATTCTTTCCTACTTTTCTTTTTCTGTTGTTTTATTGAATCATTAACTTATTTATTACATTAAAAAATCTCGCTTACGAGCGTCGCAAGGCGTTTTGTCTGTTAAAGTTTCTAACCTGAACAAAAGATGTTAATTAAATTGTTTTACACTCTTTAGTAAACAGAGTACAAAATCAAAATACTATCAATTCAAAGTGTTTAATTTTACTCTCAGTTGAAAAATTAAAATCTGACTGATGCGTTATTTCATTTAAATAATAATTACTTTAGTAGAGGAAATGGGAATTAATACATTTAGGAAAATATCTGACAATTGACTTCTCCAAGATAGTGTTATGAGCTAGGTGTCCAGTGAAGTAACGCCAACCCGAAGCAATTTGCACCACCCTCACTTTTAAACCTCGCGCCAGTCGCTGTGGACGCGGTACTCCGCAACGCTAGCAAGTTCGTCTCTTTGACACGCGTATATTAGAAAGCACGGGCTCTCGCGTCCCGCAGGAAGGGCGGCGGCGGCGGCCGCCGGGGAGCCACTCACCTGCTGCCGTACTGCGAGCCGTGCCAGCTGCGGTAGGGGTCGTACTCCTCGATGATGCTGGGCTCCTTCTCGATGACCTCGGTGCGCGCGCACGAGCACGTCATGGCGGAGCACAGGAAGATGTTGATGATGAGCATGATGAGGAACATGACGCCGAACGCGATGCACAGGTACAGCAGCCAGGGCGGGTGCACGCCCTCCGCGCACAGCTCACGCACGGCTACACACACACACAGCACGCATTGCATTTTCTCTTATTTATTTCATTCGTAATACGAGTTTTTATTTAATGGCGCACTCCAGGGTGGGGGTTGGAAGGGACTTCAGCTCTTCCCCAGAAGCATGGCACATATATTTAAAAAAAAATAGTTTTTACTAACTTTCTATAGTAACTATAATTCAATACCTCAATTGAATACATGAACAAATAAAAGTAAATTTTAAATTGAGCATAACTGAAAAATTCTTTATAAGAAAACATATCTACTAAAAACCACCTTATACAAATCCTGGATGCGCCACTATTATTAAGGTATTAAAAATTTAAATAAGTATTCGTTAATTCCATGTAAAAACAATTAAATGCTAAGATGACATTCAGAAATTACGCATTATGTATCAAATTCGAAAAAGAAATATTTTTTCGTAGTACGGTTTATGGTAGAGCGAATGTTGTTAGGAATGTGGTACAAAAAAGAATGAGAAAGAGTTATAAGAAGGAGGAGGCGAAGGAGGAGGAAGAGGAAGAAGAAGAAGAAGAAGAAGAAGAAGAAGAACAGGAATTAATTTCTTCGTCCACCTAATTTCCTTGTAGAAAAGTAGAGCAAAAGGAGGAAGGGAAAGAGGAAAGGGCAAAAGGGAAGGAGAAAAGCAAAAAGCGAAAGGGAAAAGCAGGAAAGTCAAGGAAATGAGAGAATGATTAAAATAAATCGAGAAGACGAGGAATAGAAGAAACGTTAAGGCGGAATGGATCACAGGAAGGGGAAGGATGGAAGGGCTGCGAAAGAAGAGGAAGATGGAGAACCTGGGAAGACTAAAGCCTTCCCGCTTTGTGCGAAAGCAGTGTCTGCAGCACTCACTGGGCTCGTCGCCGGGCTGCAGCACGAAGACGCTGGTGGAGGCCATGAGCACGCCCTCCTCCGCCGACGCCTCCTGGTACACGTCCTTGGCCAGCGCCCGCGCCTGCGCCGACGGCAGCCGCTCCACGTCCGGCGCGTCGCAGTTCACCTCCGGGCACCGCCCTGCGCCCCACCGCAAACATTATAAGGGGTCTGGGGCATTTCTGGACAAGCAGGTTCTACGAGGCGCTTCCAGAAAGGAAGCTACCCAATGGGGTCAAGAAAAAGTTTCGTGGAATACAGCCTGTGCCTATAGCCGAACAGCTTAACCAAGGTCCTTGAAATCAAGAATGTCACGGATTAATCAACTCGAAATACCGCGGGCCCCTGGATGGGTGGCGTTTGGGAACCCTGGATACTAATGACGCTGAGCTCCTGGTCTATTTTGATAAAGGGCTTACGATTTGTCTTGACTTGACGTATGACTAAGTCCAAGGAGAATTTCTCCACGTTCAATGTCAAAAAACCCTTTGGTTCGTAAGTAACAGATTTTTTTAAAAAGTGTTCGACCGTCCACTCTGTAGTATGGACCTCGACCCCCGCGACTTCCTTATTTTCTTACACATTAAGAAATCCCTGAAAAACCAATGCAGACTTGCATATGGCTATCAAACATCGGTACCTATCCCACGCGGCCGACTGGTACATAGTGATAAATTGTTTATTCCACAGTATGACAATGTCTCAATTCTGGTATTGATTATTTGGAAATTAGTGCAACATGTGCTGTATCTGCTAACATTTTTCAAGACACCAAAGTTTAAAAGTATCTGAAAGTTTTTTTTTCATGAAACTGTGTTTACTTTTTGTTGCAAATTACTTTCTGGATGCGCCTCGAATATTCATGACATGTTTATAAACATGTAAAATATTGTTTTAACTTTTTCAACAATATTTTTTTTAATTAATTATGGAAATTACTTTAAATCGGATTATAAAAGTGACGGAACACGCAGAGGCGGAGGTCTGGACGTACCTTTGCAGACCCCAATGTCGCATTGGAAGTGCAGCTCGTTGCTCTCTGGCAGCCGAAACATGGACTGCAAGATGGCGTCCGCGGCGCCGGTCTTCTCGTCGTAGCGGAAGGGCGAGATAACGTCCTTGTTGATTGGGCACCTGCGCAAGTGAAAAACGCTCACTCAGAATGTGTCACGTTACGTTTATTATTTTCGTAACAACTGAATGTGACCTACGGGGGAGAAGGCTAAACACATGTTATTTTGAATCCTACATTTTTACTATACTTATTTGAGTGATGAATAATAGTACCAAAAAAACGTGGATATCAAGATTTAAAAACTGGAAATTTTCGTTCCCGAGTAATAAAATCTTATTTGTAGAATTACGTTTTTTCATAGTTGTGCAAACGAAATAGCAACCATGTTCCCGGTTCATGAACTACAACTAGAAGCAAAAGGAGAGCTCAACAAAACTTGGTGAAGGTACCAGAAGTAAAACAAGGGACATCTCCGCATCTGTTCAACGGATGAAAGGAAACAGTACGACAACCTGACAGAAACGCTATTTCAAATCGAATGATCCTTTTTCAGATATCCTCCTTTTTGACATAAATTCCTATTAAAACGTTGGGCGATTGACATTCGATCACCTGGGGCATGGTATCCAATCAGAAGCTTCGTTACTACTTAAATTGTAATATTGAAGCTTCTGATTGGATAACCGCGTTTCAGTTGCGCGTCCAAGCCAATTCACCATACCCATTAATCAGCCAATTGGCTCAACGTTTCAATCGAGTGTAGATATATCTTACCTGTATTACTGAACATAGAGGTACACACCCGTGCCATTCATTCGCGTATACTATCAAGTATATCAAGAACATCAAGTTTAATTTCACACAAAGTTGCAGATTCTGCCAGTCTCTGATCAAGTGGGGTAGTATTGAGAATCGCCGGGCCAGAAAATGTGCAATAGAATGTACAAGATCTCATCTTCAAAATTCCACGTTTTAAGGCTCTAGCACTTTTGTGTAGAAGTTGTCGTTATTACTATTATTATTATTATTATTATTATTATTATTATTATTATGTCTAGTGTCCAGTCTCGACGCAGTTAGTTGTCAAGAGGACCGCCATCAGGTAGCATCACCGCGTACGCACCTCTTGCCACTCGCTCCTGCGTCACTAGCAGCCAGAATTGGGACGAACTTAGGACAGGGTAAGGGTTTAGAACGCGTCACAGGAGTTGCACTAGGCCCTGTAAAGTAGACAAACTCGTTTTGTTTGGAATAAAATTCACATGAGTGTCCGGGAAACGAACTCAGACCTAGTTGATGAAAGGAGCGTTGCGAAATTTGCCTGGTCAGACGGAAGAGCGAGCCTGATGGCCCGAGTCTCGCCACGTAAAATAAGGCATCAGTTCATTTCAATTCAATTCAATACTTGGTGAAAGGCGAGCGATTTTGCTCTGTGCCACGAGCGGCGTTAATTAACTATATACATTTTAACAATACTGCCCGAGTGATGGGGATTGCATTTGACATGAATATTTAGACGCATTTTGTCAAATAATCCTTAAAATTTTTAAAGTCAAAGTGCAATTTATCACTTCTCCGTGAAATTCTTTCGTTAGAGACCTTATTTACAAAGATTGGTTGAGTGTGGGAACCACAAAACTCCTCTATACTACTGAAATAATACAAACGATGAGTGACAGTAAGGCTGTCTAAAAAAAGTGACTGACTCACGTACGTAGTAAAAGTGATTTTACTTTGCCAGTCATTGATTAATTAGTGATTTCGGGCGCGTCAACTGGTAAGGTCATTAGTCCCGTAAGTGTATGCGTGTTTTTATCTCGAGAGGTGGCGGTGTAATTTTCGAAAGAAAAAAACGAACAATGCACGAAAATAGGATTAACAACATGTTGTTTACCGTCCCTTATTACATAGGTGGAGAAAATTCAAAGAAAAATATGGTGCGGTTATTCAGAAAAAAATCGTAAATTTCAAACGTTAATTAAGCACAAACTTCTACTCCTATTTTTCAAACAATTGCACATGACTTTTTTAAAGAGCTAATTTTGTACAATAGACTTTGAGGCAAAAATTTGTATCTTCCAATTTTGTCATTGAATTATTACTTTGCTATTTTCAAAATACCGAGCAATACCCGAAAATGAGAATAGGCCCAGATTTTTCTCTCTTATTTCATAAGCAGAGAAAATTTAAAGCAAAATTTGGAGCCGTTTTTGAGAAAAAAAGTGTCTATTTCAAACCAAATTATGCAAAAACTACTGGGGTTTTTTAATAAAATGTACATGACCTTTTTCAGAGATATAATTGTGTACAAGAGACTTTGTTTGAGGCAAACATTTCTATCTTCAATTTTCTAGTGTTAAAGTTTTTTTTTTGTTTTGCAATTTTCGAAAAATTTTGGAATTCAACGAAATTAAGACCTGAACCAGTCCTTCGCACTATTCAACAACCAAAGTTAATCAACATTTTGAAGTCATTTATTTGAACATTTTGAAAATGTCGAATTTTGAAAATGACGATTTTTTTCTATGTTCAGCAACTGGATCAGCACTTTTTCGTTACCCGGCATTTTTGTGTCGAAAATTCGCTGTTTTCCTGTGCACGATTACAATACTTTCCCTTGTTACGTTAGTAAGTGCGAGAAAGTAAAAATTATCAAAATCCAGAACATTATAAAAGTCGAAATGATTTAATTTCCGTTATTTGTTGTAAAAACAATCATACGTTTTTTCACCGTTATACGTACTTTTATCTCAACAAACAACTACTCAACAAACATTTTACTACATCAATGCGTGATTATCTTAACGATGAAGGTTGAATAGATTCATTTCACGAACATACTAAGAGATAACATAATTAACTGATCTTATTTTGGTTTATTTTGAATTGGTCTTACTTTGAGTATTGAACTTGCGATTTTGATTTCGACTCGTTAAAAATCGCATCTTATTGAGTAAGATGAACGGAGGGGGAAAAAGAAACCAAAGACATCGTAGAAAAAATACTCCATTCTTATGTAGTGTGAGTTTTGTTAGTTCTACTCCGGAGAATCTCTTTTGTAAAACTCAATAAATTGTTTTCCAAATAATCTCATATAGAAGGTTGATTTTATATAATCAATACGATGTCAATTGTTACATGTTCGAGAAATTAACTCGTTTCAGATGTAACGATCCACAATGCAAGGCATATGATGTGATAATTTCTGTGACATGGAAGAAATCTGTAAGAATGTTACAAACCTTCGTGCAAAAATAAAGGCAAAAGTAAGCAGGGTGCAGTTTTTCTTATCAATGTTTACCAAACTGGCAAACGTGAATTATAACATTCTATCTGGGCATTTTTCCGAGTTATATTTCTAGATGTAAGTGGAATGGAAATTTAGTTATGTAATCAGGAATTCCTAACAAATCTAAAGCTTATTTGACGGTGCTAATAGTATCGATAATGACGTAAGTTGGTGTTTTGTATTACACAGGAGCGAGTCTTTGTTAGTAAATGTTGCCAACAACGTTCGCTGCTTTTATTAACAATCCAACAATGTGATAAGAGGAGTTGGGATCAAGAATAATTCGAAAAACGTGTGGATAGAAACTAGCTTAATATTTTTATTTTACAATACATTTTCGAATTTATTGACGTTATTTATATTTCTAATTTAACATTTTAATTTTAAACAAAATTAATAATTGCAATTGCTAGCTTGTGCATTAGTAATTGGAAAGTATATTTAAATTTCATGAAATTTATGTATGAAAGTATTCACGCTTCGTTTTTTTCGTTCACGCCTTTTAATGGGAGACTTTCTTCCCTATCAATATTATATTAATTTACCTACATTGAATATCTGCACAATGTTTTTGAAATTGAAAAATCTCATAAAATAATTAAACACCAAAAGTTTCTTACCCTCGGTCATCGATGAGCTGGACAGTGTTGTTCTTATTGTTGAATGCGAAACATCTCTTGACACGAATGCCGTAAGTTCCTGAAACATACATTATGAATTGAAGTTATTTTCAAGGTGATATTGAATATTTCTTTTGAGTTGTGTGTCTAATTGAAGGTGTAAAGTTGAAAATTTATTGAACATTTTTACTGCAACATTGAAATAGTGAGGTGACGA